CCACCCGCAGTGGCACCAAGTGGGTGCACGTCAGCTGTGCTCTCTGGATCCCAGAGGTGGGTGCTGCTTGCTTCTTGGAACCCTGAACGCTGAGAATTGCAGACTTTCTGTGCTGAACCCCAAGAGAAAACTGCTTTTCACCTGAGGCCGTGGCGAAGTTTCCAAAATTGAATTGTAAAAGTTGTAGAACTGGGATTACGGGCGTGTAGTTTGAATAGAAGTGTTTAATGTCACAGGGTGGAAAACTTAAGAGTTTAAGGTTTTAGAATATAGTAATATATATAAAGCAAGATGGAGATTTGGTCCTTCTTCTTCACCTTCTTCTTCACCTTCTTCTTCATGGGTTTGGGTGGTTTTGTGTAATTGGACAGAAAAGTCCGCATTGCGGACTTCAAATGATTAGTTTTTAGGTTAAAAGTTAAAATAATTTAGGTGTCATTTCTTAATTGGACAGTTTATCCTTAAAGGCCTTGTAGAGAGAGAGATACAGCTGCGTTTTTTAGTTTGTTAGAGTGAAGTGCTGTAGAACTCACAGTTTGTGAGACTGTAATATAGATAAAAACTAATAAACCTCTGAGTCCAAACAGGAAATACTGTCTTGCTCATTTAATCCTGATCCTGGTAAAAAAAGAAGCAAAGACTCCACAGGTGCTGTTCCTGGGATTCTGGGAGAGGAAAAAAACAATAATGCTTCCTTAAAGCATTATTCAACTTCAAAATGAGCATAAAAGTTTCGTGGTTGGGTAAAAAGTCTGGCAGGGGATGATGCTTCACCTGTAAAGAAACTGATTAAATCCCCTCTGTCAATCAGAATTAGGCCTTGGAAAATGAGGCCTTTGCTGCTGGCAAAGCTCATTTAACAAGGACACCAGATACCATTTCACTTTGTAAACAGAACATTAACGGTGAATCAGGAAAGTTTGACTATGAGAACCCACAGGAATTCTGTCAGATTCAAAGTGTTCATCCTGTATGATAATCTTAAATTGGTGGGCTTCACCTTGAAACTGGTTTGTTTGTTCATAAAGTGAGAAACTGATTTTTTTTTTAAAAGAGTTTTAGATCCTGATTAAATGAGGAATTTGGGACACACTAAGTTGTATATACAGACAAGGAATATGACTTCTCTAATAAAATTGTTTATTTAGTTAACAGTGTCATAGTCACTCCAATTTTTTGACCATTTTTCTCTTAGGTGAGCATCGGAAGCCCTGAAAAAATGGAACCCATCACAAAAGTTTCCCACATTCCCAGCAGTAGGTGGGCACTGGTGTGCAGCCTTTGTAATGAAAAAGTTGGAGCTTCTATACAGGTAATTTAACCACATAAATATCCACGTGTGTTTTAGTAGATAGGAAATGTGTTTTCTCATTGTTACTGTGGACTTCACTGACCTGATCTGCAGCAGAGCATTTTACACTGGGCAGTGTTTCTTGTGCATAGTTATTTTGGGTTGTTAGTTGTAAGGCACCTGTAGACCCTTTACAGTAGAAAACCATTCAATAATCCTTTTAAGAAAAATTTAAAAATCTATAAAGACTGAGAAAACATATTACCAAACCTGAGATTTTTGAAAGAGGAGACACTGGGACAGCAGACAAGATGTTGATCTCCTTTACTTGAGAATAAATGATGAGGGAGTGTAAGGACAGGTGACCCATTTGGGGCAGTGTTGTGCTTGTGTAGGAAAAGACAGTAAAAGGTAGCTCAGCATTGTGGTGATGCTCCTCATCCTCAGAGCACTTCCAGCAGCAGAACAATCCTCAGGAAGCTCCCTGAGACACAGAGGGATGGTACTACAGTCTCATAAGGAGGCTGAAGTAGAGCTTTTGCGCTTTTGCTTCTGGGGCTAGCCTGGTGGTCAGACCAGCATTAGGACACAAAAATGGCTCAAGTCCTACACTGTTTGAAATGAGTTTATCCCCATTTCCCTTTTCTCCTCTGCCCCACATTATTTGATTGAGGCTGCCAGGAAGAGCTGTAAATCAGCAACACAGCAGCAGGTCCAGTGAAACCTGTCACAGGCCACTTCCATGTGAGGAAGGTATGAAATAGGAAGTGTTAACTAGAGAAAATAAATCTGTCCACAGCATATAAATTTGCAACCACAATCCCTCCTTGCAGAGCCATCCCCTTCCTCTTGGCTGCTGTTAGGTAGCTGAAGCTGTTTTTGTCTGTTCTCCAGGCCACCTTCTGATATGTGCACAACAGTTAGGAAAAGTGGCAGCTGGAAGTGTGTGTCAGGCTGGTCAGGGAGCAGCTGCTGTAAGCTGGGAAAAGCAGGATTGCTTATTCCCCCAGGTTCAGCAGGTTTCCTCCCAGTGAGACAGGCTTTCCTCTCTTCTCCCAGCAAAACATGAGCTGCAGTAAGAGCTAATTATGGCTAAAGCACTTCTCTCTACTGCCCAGTGTTCCAGTTGGGATGCTCCTGGCCTGTGTTAGTAGGAGAGGAAAGGGCAAAAGATGCTTTGGTATTTTTAAATTCCTTTTATATGTTGCTTTTATTAAAGACTGCTCATTTGAAACCTGTGCAGTTTAAACCCTGCCATACCTTTATAAGCCATCTGGCTGCTGAGTCAACCTGAGCAGGAAAACCCAGAGGGGAGAGAGATTTGGCTTCTTTACAAAGCACTGTGCAAACATCCCACTGCACTGTGTTGCTCTTTCAGGGTCGGTGGCTTGGGTTAAACATAGTTTTGTTTCCTAGTTAGGAACACTAATGCTCATTTCCACTTCAAATCCTGTTCACCAGAGGTGTGAGTGGCTCCAAACACATATGTATGTGTGTTTGTGTATACATACATATTTATATGTATTTAAACCTTTCAGCTGATGGCTGGTGGTATGTATGATAGAATTTTGCAAAAGGAAATTAGATGTAATGGAAATGAAGTGCTAAATCAGCTGAACTAGTGCCCATCACTCTATGATGGCTGAGTTCACTGAGTAGGAAGAAGAATGACAACATTTGAATTTCCTGTTTTCCAAGGTGAAGTGAAGGCTGTGAAATGAAGTAATGGTTGACAGTGATTTAATATTTGACATTATAAAATCGGGATAATGGGGAAAAAATTCCCTTTGGTTGAGGCCTTTTGGATAGCATGGATCCAGGTGCTGGGAAAGACTTTTAATTAAAACTCTCAGACTGGCCTGGAGCCACCACAATGTTTTTTCTTCCCCCTGGTGCTGACACATTCCAAAGGGGAACACTGTACTTCGGTAACGGTGTGCTGTGCACAAGTGGCTCTGGTGTCACTGGGAATGTTCCTCTTGTGGCTTTTTGTGCATGGAATAGCGTGGTGGGGCTGGAGGGGGGTTAAACACTCCTGTCCCTCTGGGCCACTTGATCCTTGGCTGGCCTGAAGGCACTAAGTCATAACCCCAATTAAAGGGAGCAAGAAAGTGCATGCAGCCAGAAGCAGGGCGTGGTGACAAGGTTCTTCCAAAGCAGCCCCAACTTCTCCAACCGTTCTAGGCAGTGCGGCTTCTTAACTTTGATATTTATTTGGTTAATTGTAATTCGTTGTTTCCTCTAGTGTTCAGTGAAGAACTGCAGAACAGCCTTTCACGTCACGTGCGCCTTCGACCGCGGCTTGGAGATGAAGACCATCCTGGCAGAGAACGACGAGGTGAAGTTCAAGTCCTACTGTCCCAAGCACAGCTCCACCAAGAAAGGGGACGCTGAGACTTTGAGTGAAAGCCCAGCTCAGGAGAACAGGAATGGCATTCAGGACACCTCCCTTCCTGCCCACATGGACCCTTTCCACAGCATGGATCAAAACCAGGAGGAGGCCCACAGGGTCAGCCTCCGCAAGCAGAAGCTCCAGCAGCTGGAGGACGAGTTCTACACTTTCGTCGAGTCTTTGGAAGTGGCCAAAGTGCTGCGGCTGCCTGAGGAGCCCGTGGAATTCCTTTACCAGTACTGGAAACTGAAGAGGAAATCCAATTTCAATAAGCCTTTGATTACCCCAAAGAAGGATGAGGAAGACAATCTGGCTAAGCGGGAGCAGGATGTTCTGTTCAGGAGGCTGCAGCTCTTCACACACCTCCGGCAGGACCTGGAGCGGGTAAGCCCCGGCGCTGGCCACAGTTAGCTGAGTTCCCACACTGTGCCCAGCCTGAGTGCAGCTCAGCTCAGAGCTGTGCTGTCAGGCAAGGCCATTCACACTAAATTTCTCCAGAGCACAGCAATTGCCCTTTGCACACAGAGGTCAGTCACGGGGCCAGCGGGTCTTGGCGTGTAGCGTTCAATCACCTGCAACTGCACTGTCGTGTTTTGGCTCGTGCCTTTTTACTGATTAACTCTGACTGTACTGCACCCCCAGCTGAAGCCTTTTCAGCCTTTAAGGGCTTTCCATGCTCCTTTCACCCAGTGAAAAGGATGATGAAACTTACCTTGTTTTGCAGCAGATCTGTTTTTCTTTGGCATACCAGAGTAGGATGATCAGTGTAGGTGTGGGAGGTAACTGATGTTTGATTTATTTAGGTCTTGAATGTTTGAAGAACAGTTCAATAAGATCAGTTTGGTGTTTCAATAAGTACATCTGATCCTGGATTCCTTTCTTTTTGGGGTAATTTAAGAGCTCTTAGAGCCAGAAAGAACACTGAAATTAGTCTTTCACATCCCTGCAGCACGTAGCTCATGTGGGCCAAAGCTGGCTCAGGAGGTCCTACCTCAGTAACCTGTAGGTGAACCAGAGCCTCTCTTTCATAATACTGTCTAATCTTTAAATCAGGACAGCAGGTTCTCATGGATGCACTGCATCCTTTGTAAGGGATCTTGATGCCTAATTACTCTTACAATGAATTGCTGCAGTTTTTGATTTTTCTCCTAGTTTCAACTCCGGCCCAAGGACCTTCTGTAGCTGTTCAGATCCTAGCTGTTATCTGGGATCTTTTGTTCCTGCTCCCTGTGCTCAGGCTTTCTTGTCATCTTCTCTTTGATCAGCTAAATAATTAGAGTTTGTAACTATGTTCTCTGGATCTTAAATTATTGTGTGTGAATCCTTTAATTTCGAAATGTGATGTTAAAACAGGATATGTGATTTTAGTAATATTTTAATGTTTTATTATTCTGTTCCCACTGGTTGTTCAAGATAATTTGGATTTTAAAAAAGGGATCTTTACAAAAACAAACACACTTGTTACATTTCTCCAGATCAGGCCACAGGGTTGTAATTCATAGGGCACCACCTTGCACCACTGAGAGAGGAGCCTTAGAATCATCCACCTGTGCTTCTCAGTCATTCCCTCACCTGGGAAGTATACTGAGTACATTCTAGGATTTCCAACATTTCCCTAGTTTTCATGTGTGTGTGACTCAGGTGTTTGTAGAAGTTTCTTCTGTGCTGTGGTTCTCCAAATCTGATGGGATAATCTGTCAATTAAATTGCCTGTCAATTCAACAAATAATTTGTCAGTTAAACAGACTCGTTCTCTAAGAACTGTGTTGAAGGCAGTTAAATTTAAATTGTTTAAATTCAAATGGTTTAAATTTTAATTGTACACCATTTATTTAAAAGGTGTGTAGTACTCCAGCTGAATTAATTCAAAACAGAGGTAGGGCAATATCCTGGGAATACAATTCCTGTAAAATCCACGCCCTTGCTGTCTTCCAGGTGCGTAACCTCACTTACATGGTGACACGGAGAGAAAAAATCAAGAGATCTGTTTGCAAAGTTCAGGAACAGATATTCAACAGCTACACAAAGCAGTTGGAACAAGAAAGAGTTTCAGGTATGCCTCAGTGTTCCCTTCCTTGTGTCAGAGCACAGGGACAAGGTTTGCTTACAGGCTGTGAAGGACAAGCAGGGCCCCATTTGTTCTCATTTCATTCCCCAGAAAGACGAATACCTTCAAAATTCCTGCAGTGGCCAGATTATCCTTGAACTATTGAGTAACTAATAAACCATATTTGAGATAGCATCAGGCAGATCCACTTGCTGGTTGCTTTTTGCCTCTGTCTCTGAGGACAGAGGAGTGTTAGGACTTATGTTTGCTACAAGTATAATTAGGAGCAGGTACAGGAAGATAAAACCATGACATAGCCACAGAGCTGTGACCTAAAAGTACAGGACAGGCAGCCAAATACCCATTTCTGATGTGAACACGTCAGGCATGAGGAGCAGAGTTAACACAGGTACACTGCAAACTGGTGTTTATCTCCAGAGCTGTGGGATTGCTTGGCTTGAACTTATTTTGTTTCCATGCAGGTGTGCCTTCCTCCTTCTCCTCCATGGAAAGCACGGTGCTGTTCAACAGCCCGTCGCTGGGCCCCGACGCGCCCAAGATCGAGGACCTGAAGTGGCATTCTGCGTTCTTCAGGAAGCAGATGGGCACTTCTCTGGCCCGCTCCTTGAAGAAACCCCACAAGAGGGACAGGGTAAGAGACAGGTCTGGGAATGACAGCAAGTCCCTGCTGGCACAGCCCAGCCCTAGGGAAGGAGGTGCAGCTCCAGGCAGCTTTTTCAGTTTTGACAAGCCCTTGGCCGAGGCGCGGGTCGGGTCAGCACAGCAGAAGAACGGCGTGGTTCTAGCGGAGCACAGGAAGAGAAGGGACAACCGCCCACAGTGCGAGGGGGCCAAGGCAGAGCTGAAGGAAAAGACTCCTAAACACAACCACAAACCCCTGAGACCCACGGAACTCTCTCAGAGGCAACTGGAAAACAAAAGGGCTGTCAACCACTCGGGTGGGAGGTCAGCAGCGCCTGGCACTCGGAGGGATATAGTGCCTAAATGTAACGGGGGTCTGGTCAAAGTGAACTCCAATCAGACAGTAGTTAAAGTGCCTACCACGCCCACGAGCCCGGGGAAAAACTGGGGCGGATTCCGAATTCCAAAGAAGGGGGAGAGGCAGCAGCAGGGGGAGGGCCTGGAGGAGGCCTGCCGCCAGAACTCGGGCTACCCCTACCTGGGCAGTGTGGGCAGAGTTGCAGCCAAGGAGAGGACAAAGAGCAAGTTAAAGCCTGACAGCGAGAACGATGGCTACGTCCCCGACGCCGAAATGAGCGACTCGGAGCCCGAAGTGGCTGAGAAGAAGTGCAGGCAGCAGAGGCTCAGCCCCGGCAGCAGCATGGGCAGGAGGACGGACATCATTCGCAGGAGCATCCTGGCCACCTGACTGCACACAGGGTGGGGTCACCAGAGTCACACTGCCTGCAAGCCAACTCCACCTTACCCATCGGGGGGAGAGAGGAGCATTCTTAGAGCTACAGACTGACAGAATGGAAGCCCATTTTTCCTGAGTTGTATAAGTATGTTTACATGCACTTAAAGCTGTTTTAAGCTCTTTGATTTTGTTTTGTTTTTTTGTTTTGTTTTTTTTTTTCCTCTCTCTGCCCCATCCACACCCCCTCACCCTTCCCATTTCTGTGAGAAGGGTGAATCTCCCTTATTTGCAACTTTCTTGAGTAAGCATAAGAGTGACATTGCTACTAAAACAGGAGTTGGGATGCACACAACTCACAAAAATCTTTTACAAGGGGCTGGGGGAGGGCAGGAGGAATCAGGCTGCATTCATCCCTTCTAGCTAAAAGGCACTGAAAATTTTACTCCCTCCCCCTGACTTCTGGAAAAGCACAAGCTCTTAATTTAACTCGTGTGTATTGAATGGAAGATGGTTGTTAGACCATCCTGCACTGCACTGGTAAGTCCCATGACAAATGCTCCCCATCCCTGGGCAGGGGCTGCCCTCTCTCCTCTCTTTGCAGAATGTGTTCTGTTGTGTTCAGTTGGAGCAAACCCCTCCCTGTGCTCCAGAGTTTACAGTCAATGATGGCCAGGCACAGCCAGTTGTTGCACTGGAGGAGGAAGAGGAGAAGGAAGGGACAGGACAGGGCTTGAGAGATGGGGACTGACACAAAGGATGTTCCCAAATGGCTCAGTTCTGAGCAAGGGGCAGGTTTGGGGGTTCCAGCACTCCATGGAATAACCTGTCACCCGTGGTCAGGCACCTGCCTTTGGGAGTGTGATGACAATTCCTGACAGAAGTTTTCTATGGCACTAGGCAGGAGGATTTCCCAAAGGCCACCACAGATGCACTAATGATATGTACTGGGAGAGTCAGGCTTATGACACTAAAAGGTTGCTTTAAATGGACACAAATATATATTTTTAAATAGAATAAAACTCAAAGGCAATACATTGTGATTAGCTCTTTACAGTCAAGCAAAGAAAAAATTATTTCATTCTATGATGGATTAGATTTGATGGAAAAGGGAACTTGTATTCTGACTGTGTACTTTTTTAATAATTGCAAGTGGCAATAATGAGTAAGCTGTGAGCAATAACATGAACAGGTTGTGAGGGTACTGTTGTTTTGTACTGAGTGCACACACTGCAGTGGAGCATTAAGAGCCTGTCCATTCTGGAATTTTTCATAGATGTAGGAGAGGTATGTACTGGTGAAAAAGCAGCAGCAGCAATGTGTTAAAGACAGGCATAAAGAACCTCCTTCTCCTCCCCTTTCCCACTCCCAGCCTGCTGTTATGGCATCCACTCACCATGGAATGCCTGACCCTTGCCTCCCCAGGAGGGAGCACTGACAACACAGAATTCCTCTGCCATAGGACTGAGGATTCAATCAGAAAGTAAAAAAGGCTTAACACCCTATCTTGCTATGCAAGTTAATGTTATCAATTAAATATTTCACCAGAATGCATCCCTCTTTTAAAACTCTTAAGTCTTAACCTTTTGAGGAAGGCAAATTTTATGTAAGATAATACACTTTCAAAATCCTGTTGCTGGTCCCAAGAAGTCTCAAGAATAAAGACATGATTTACAGAGGTGAAAGTCAGGCAGGGCACTGGTGACTGAGGTTACATAGCCACTCTTGGCATGTCTTCAAAGTATAAACAGCAGACAGAGAAAAGGTAAAAGCCAGTAAGTTCTACTCAACATGCAGCAACATTCTCCAGACAGGCACTGGTATTTTCTGTAAGAAAGACGCTCATGACCACACAGGAATTGTCAAGCCATAGATGGAATAGCCTAAATTTGGATTCTGAGTAAACCTTTAACCTCACCCCCTTGGACAGAGGTACCTTGTTAATTTGCACTATATGATGATACTTGTGTTGTGCAGAGTGAATGCCTTAGCTGCTGTGGGCAGGAAGCTTTGGGAGCTTTCCAGTGGAGCTGCCCCCAAACCAAAAAGGCTGTGCTGTGGGCAGCTCTGTAGGTTCCTTCTGTCCCTGTGCTTGGCCCTCAGCAGGAGGTGCTGCAGGTACTGCAGTGACAAACCCACCCCTGTGTTTTACTGGGATTTGCTGGATTTCTGTTTCCAAGTGTGACCTTTCCTTGTGCTGACTGACCAAGAGATCTTTGATATGATCCGTGTGTTCTGTCCAACCGTAGGCTAGCTGAACGTCTGTAGAGTTGCCTGGAATGCCATTTGTTAGGTTATAAACTCACACAGATCTAAATGAAGGGTTCATGTTGTGTACAAATCTTGATTTCAGAAGTTTGAGACAATTGTGATGACATTTGTAAAACTTGTACAGATTTTTCACTATGTGCCTAGCTTTGGTGTCCATTCAGCTGAAATTAATTAAAAAAAAAAGGTGCATGAAGAGAAACAGAAATAAAAAAATATATGTAGAGATGACTATTTTATATTACATGGCCCAATCCTGTATTTATTTTCTCCCTTTTTTTGAAGTATTTCTAAAGACCTAGTTGAAACAGCTGTATTTTTTGTTAAAATATTCAGTAGAATTGTGCCTTTTGTCTGTATGTGAATAAATGCTGTACATTTTTGCAGTATCCTTGGCAGCTGTGGTTTAGACCTCCCTTATTTGTATTTGGGTTCTTACAAAAACAATTCACTGCAATGGTCTGAACAGCTTTCATGGATTAATACAGGTATCACCATGCACATTGCAGCTGCAAGATTTTGTAAATTTTTAAGGTTTTTAAGGTTTTTTTTGTTACTGACAGTTGTGCTTATCCCATCAGCAGCACACTGAGTGTTTTTCCCATTGGTATCCTCAAAGAGATGCTGCTTCCCTCAAATCATTTACATTTGTAGACAGAGGATGTTCTTGCACAGTCCACGATCTCCATATGTGTTCCAGTGGAAAAGGAACCTGAGCTTTGAAGCCATGGATCTTTGGGATAATCAGGCTGAAAGTTCATTCACACTCTGAACTGGCTGGGGTCACGCATTACTGAGGGAACATTTTCTTGTACAGCAGGATTTCCAGATGAGGATTCCTTTAAATTCCAGGTGCAGAAACATGGAATGGACTTGGTGCTGAGCAAGAAAAGGCTGTGAAAGGACACCCTGAGCAATCCATCTTGAAAGAACCAGATCTCCCAATTTGGGAGCAGCCTCCTCTAGCCACCTCAGGGAAATAAAGGAGGTGTTGGGTGTATGATCAGCTCCATGTCACCACATTCCTCTCTGTGACCAGGACAGAAATCTTTTCCTTTCCTGTGTCATCTGCTGGAATTGCTCTGCTGCCCCTGGCCTTGTGTCACCCCTGCAGTTCCTGTTCTGGCAAACAGCCACCAGGCAGGAGCTGCACCCCCAGGTGAAATGAATATTCCCATAATTAACAGGGAAGCCTGCAGGTGCCCTTCTGGGCCTCCAGGAACAAATACCCAAATCCTGAGGAGTGCCTGCCCCTTCCAGCCAGGTTTCACTTCACAGCCAGAGCCTGCCTTTGAGCAGTGAAGGGGATTAATGGCTCACACAACATCTTCCAGGTGGCCTGTCATCATCTCAGCTGTGCATTATGCAAATGGAAACAAGGTGCCTGCCACTTGTCTGCCTCTGTATCACTCTGCTGATTGATGAAAACCTCACCCAAACAGACACTTGGAGCTTCTGAAAAATGTATCCGTGTTGTTTTGGAGAATCTTCCACATCTTTTAACCAAAATTGAGATTTAGAGATTGCAGTGGATACAGGCATCTATCAAGAAGAAAGAGCAACCACTCTAGGAACTAGTGGCATTCCCTGCAGCAAGCAGGAATTGTTTCTGAGGGTGGATCCATCTTGCAGGCTCTACCTGAACAGCCAAGATTTCAGGAGGCAGCACAAAGTCTTGTTTCCACAGGGGGGATCAGCTCAACTCTGTCCTCTGAAATGCAAACATGGTGAAGGTCCACTGCCATGGACACAAATGAGACATTTCCATCAAGTACTACCCAGCAGCTGAATGAGAGAGGTTAGAAACCAGAACTGCACTCTTCACATTGAAGTGGAAGGACAAGCAATTATGTCAGTCAAGGCCAAGACGTGAGCACTTCAAAATCAGTGCAACACCTATCAAATGCTTGCACTATATGCTAAAAGAGAAAATGGACTTTGGCTGTAATTGTATAATGATAGCTATGACCTGCCTCAACTATCAAAAATCCCCATGTACAAGAGGATTCCCACATCTTGGCATCTGTACAGCTGAAACCCACTATTTCAAAAGGCATAAGGGCTGGGTGACTTCACCCTGGTACAAATTGAAGTAAGAGAATGGAATTTCCCAGATACGTCGAAACCAAGCGAGCAGACCAACAAAAAAGCAAGGAATTGTAAAAGAATTATGAAATTAATAGTACATTAAGAAGAAAAAGCACAACTGCAGGAAGATGACAGAGCTTAGGAATGAGTTGAGTAGCCACAGCAGCATTTTCATTATCACCTGCACCTTAGGGCCACCAAACCAAACTGAATTCTTTACACTGGAAGGCAACAGAGGCATCGTGCAGCTCAAACACTGACCAACCAAAGAGCAACTCTGGCACTCAAACACTGACCAACCAAAGAGCAACTCTGGCACTCATGCTGTAATGAGTCTAATTATAATTCACAAAGGATCTTCAAATTGTTCCCAAGTTACCTGCACTATACAGAACAATTAAAAAGATACTGACTGCACATGAGCAAAGCCAAGATGAATTTCAACAGAAGGGTTCTGTACTCCCTGTACACAATCTCATCACAGTTGGAGCTGCTGGATTTTAGACCAAAAACCCTGAATGTGCCACAGCACTGTGCCAGATTTTTTCATTTGCTACATTAAAGGACTTGAATGACATTTTGCAGACTTCTTCCAATCTTTATTGTGCAAGATCTTCATCCACTCCTTTTCTTACCAGAATTTAAGTTTTACAAGCCTTGCTGTGCTTTTGACTGTAGTGCTCCAATATGAAGTTTCTCCAGCAACCCTCCTAACTCCCAACATGAGTGGGAGTTGATAAAGGCATGATAAAAACATGTGTTTAAATAGTTTCCAGATCCAGATCCTTCAGGGAAGCAGCTTTTTTATTCTGTGTAGTTATCAAGCTGAGCTGTAATGAAACAGAAGCAGGTGATAGCTTCATAATAATTCTTTGTAGGATCAAAGTAACAGTAACAGTAGAACTTCCATACTGAATGTGTCATGAAGGAGGGGGAACAAGCCCAGGCAGTGTGAATTGGGGATAAACAGCAGAATTTACAATGTACTCTGTAGATGACTACTGCTTTTGTCTTATTTCAGACCCCAGAGAATACAAGATGATAGGTAGCAGGAACTCACTTTAAAAGACACCTACAGGATAGGTGTTTTAAATTTGTGCAAACATTGTCTTGTATGTTTTATGTTTCTTACTGAGTCACTATTACTTCAGAATAAGCTAAGATTTACAGTCAGTGAACTGACCACAGTAAAAGTGTAATTTCTAGGCTCCCTCCTAGTCCAGCTCTAGATCTGATACAATTTTACAGTGAAGGTGGATAATGTAGTGAAAACACACAATGCAGAAAGCAGCCCTCAGCCTGCAGGTTAGGAATAGAGAGAATCATGGCTCTGATGGAATTCACATGTGAACATTCAGCCCTCTGGGGCCTAGGAGAGAATCAATACCCAGACTCAGAAGAGGGGACATTCTTGCAGCACTGCTGGAGACCTTGAGCAGGGACAGTGCCAGTATGTGTTTATTTGGGGTGGAGAGAAAAAGGAAGGGGCTTGGCACAGCAGTTCTGAAGTCTGGCAACAGCATTTGGGCTGCACAGCATCAAATCTCTTTGTTATCCTTGAGAGAAACCTGGTGAGGAACAGCTAATTACCAATGTTTCCAGGAACAGCAAGACCTCTTCCTCTGTGAAGAGGAAGGATTCCAAGGCCAGGAGTTTATTCCCTTGAAATGTGACATAAGGATGTTTGGGGTTTTATGGGAAGACAGCATCTTAGAAGCATTAGAGATAAACAGATCCACATAACAAACAGGAGGTTAAAAAAAATAAAAATTCATCTTTCAGAGCAAATCTTTAGCAGCTGAATAGACCTTGTCATGACAGAGAGCATTTAGAGCCAGGAACTACAGCTTATGTTATGACAGCTTGGCAGCTATGCCCATTTATTCACTGCTGTTGAGAAAAAAAATGCCATTTGTCCTAACTGAGCAATTTAGGTCAGCCAAACACCTCTCTGCAGCTCACATGGGGTCACCCACATTAACAAGCTGTAATTTGCAAATGGTTTTCCTAAATCACTGTAAAAAAAAAAAAAGGAGGCAGAAAGGAGACCATCTTTACTTAATAGGAGGCCAACTTGAGTAATGAACTTCCTTGGCACAAAAACTGAGCTCAGTGTATAAACCCCTGTGGGATTTGCTTCAAGTTGTACAGCTGAAACACTATGGAAAAACTGAATACCAAGAGGGATCCACTGTCTCTCCTTTACCTCTCCAATGGCCTGGAAAGAAACAAGCATTTCCTACTCTGTCTGCACGATTTTTACTACTGCAGGAGCTGCTGCAGCTGTTGCATTCAGTCAGTGGGAACTGCAGTGGGTGCACTCCAGCAAACAGGAGCTACAGTTATTTCAAGTTTTTTTTTGTCTTTGCTAACTTGCCATGTACACCTTCCTTCACACATTTTGAACCTTGCAGGTTTCATCCATATCAAATTCCACAAACAAACCTAAGCTGTCAAATAGAAGGTGACATGTCCAAAATCCAAGCTTGTTAAAGTCGTGTTGGTAATAATGCTCATGAGTGATCACCTCTGCCTCAGGAATGATGCCCAGTGAGTACTTTTGCACATTCCAAGTGCCTGGATAAGACTTTTTGTGAGCTGGGTACCTGCTGGGATGCTGTGGCTGCTCTCTGTTCTGCCTGGCTCAGCCGCCTCTGCAGCCTGTCGATGTATTCCCGGTACTCCATCATCACGGTCTCATCCTGTGGAAACACAATCTCTCATCACACTGCCAAGTTCTTTTTCACTGAAGCCACTCATTCACTGGATAAAGTAGCAAAAAAAAAAGCTTAGCACAAGAGGAATGTCAGAAGTGGAACTGTTTTTCCCTTACAATAAAAGCCTGAGGACAAACTGCTGACACATTATAGAGAATTTCCAGCTCAAATGTGACATCATCTGACTTTTCCAATCAATCAATCTGCAGGGGAACTTTTACTCGTTTCACCACCTTGAAGCAAGAAGGATTAAGGCTAACATTTTAATTCAGGCTATTTAATCCATGCAACTTTACAAAGTAAATGCTTTAGCTATTTAGCTCAGAAGAAAGAGGAATACAGTAGATAATACAAATGGAATGATAAACCTGCTACAGATCTCCTCTCTTCCCTTCAAAGGGTCAGTAAAAAGCCTTTCTTAAACAGCCTTTACTCACTTCTCATATAGTTTTTATCCTCTAAATAACACAGCACTACAAAAAAAAAGAGAGAAGGACTTATCCTGGATAGAACTGGATGTTATCCCAGATTTATAAGGCTGACAGGAAAGCCCTTTCCTAAAGTGGCCATTAATTATTGAACAATGCACA